CAGCCTCTACCTGCTGGGCTCCGGCGATCCTTCCACCTCAGTCTTCCAAGTAGCTGGAACTACAGGCACGCGTAACCATGCCTGGCTAATTTTTTATTTATTGTAGAGATGAGGTCTCAACAAGTTGCCCAGGCGGGTCTCGAACCCATGAACTCAGGCAATCCACTCACCTCAGCCTCCCAAAGCGCTGGGATTACAGGCTGAGCCACCGAGCCTGGCTGACTGTGAGCTTTTAAAGACAAGTATTCCTTTAAGATTCAGCTCTGCACACACTGTGTGCTTAATACACATTTGCCAAAGGAACACATGAAAGAACAACAACAATGATCTTCCAGACACAGAGGCTTGAAGCCCTGCTCCTCTTTGACAACCCTCTTTTCTTCCTTGTCTCGTCTTGTTGAGTCCTCCTCTGAAATGTTTCTCACATTCTTTTTCATTGCGACTGATACCACCTTTGACTTATTTCCTCATTCCTGAATTACTGAAATATTCTCCTAACTGATTTTCTGGGCCTAAACTGTCACTCTCTAGTTCATTCTGCATAGCAATCAGATTGATTTTCCTAAAGCATCATCTTGATCTTAACACTCATCTCGTTAAAAATGTTCTGCAGCTGGGTGTGGTGACTCACGCCTGTAATCCTAGCACTTTAGGAGGCAGAGGCAAGAGAATTGTTTGAGCCCAGGTGTTCTGACTTAGTGAGAACTTGTCTATACGATAAATAAGAAAAATTAGCCTGGCGTAGTAGCAGGTACCTGTAGTTCCAGCTACCTGGAAGGCTGAGGTGGGAGGATGGCCAGAGTCCAGTGGGTCAACGCTGGGACTGGAGTGGCTGTGAGCATGCCACTGCACTCTAGCCTGGGCGATGGAGTGAGACTCCAACTTAACAAAAAAAAAAAAAAGAAAAGAAACCCCGAAGGGCTATAAGATAAAATCCAAACTATCTCTTCTATCCCATTTAAGGCTAAGATCCAATCCAAATCCATTCATCAACCTCAGGCGATCCTTCTGCCTCAGCCTTCCAGGTAGCTGGAACTACAGGCATGCACCACAACACCCAGCTAATTTTTTTATTTATTGTAGAAATGAGGTCTCACCAAGTTGTCCAGGCTGGTCTTGAAGCCCTGAGCTCAGGCAATCCTCTCACCTCAGCCTTCCAAAGTGCTAGGATTATAGGGTGAGCCACCATGCCCAGTCACAAGTTTTCTTGTCAGGGGAAACACTGGATTTGAGTGATACCTTAGGAAAACACATGTAGGTGGAGAATAAGATTAGAATGGGATACTGGAGGTGGCAAATTTGGAGACCATTGAACTGTCCAGACCTGACTTGATAGTGGCCTGACCTAGGAAGGTGGCAATCCATTTATATAGAGAGAGTCTAAGACTTCTTTTATTTATTTATCTTTTTTGAGTCAGAATCTCACTCCATTGCCCAGGCTGGAGTGCAGTGGCACATTCACGGCCACCACAGCCTCAACCTACTGGGCTCAGGCGATCCTTCCACCTCAGCCTTCCAAGTAACTGGAACTACAGGCACACGCCACCATGCCCGAC